TGTCAATTTTCAACTATTTTTCAAACTTTTGTACTCAATCGTACTTAATATTTACGATTATATTTATTTCAACATTTGAAACAAACACTGCCGCGTCTATGAGTAGCATTTTACATCTAAGATCACAGATTCATGTTCGATGCTATTCGTTTGTTTTGTAAGACATTATAGATGTAGAGTTAATTGGCATATTGTTTTTTTAACGACATTGTTGTTGTATAAGTATCGATTAAGATGATCGTGTTGAAATAATGAGTGCCGCTTTAGACGATAATGCTATCATACGAAATTAGCTCACAGCAGTGTGACACCATCAAGTTCAGATATAAGCGCCAGTTTAAATTTTACAATAAGAGTGGTCTTGTAAATGGTGATTCGCTTATATTCATATACAGTAGTTTAATGGAGTATATTATTCTCCTCATTATCCAATGGTCGCGGCATTGATAGCGCCCATTGATAGCGCGGCATTGATAGCGCTCGGGTCGGTTGCTTCGCTGTGTTCTTGGTAAAGGAACTTATCTATTTCCTCTGCTTGGAATAACCAACACCATTGTATTAACAGTATTGTTAAAACCAGCAAACTCAAAGCAACAAGAAAACAACTAATACAAAGAAAGCCAACAAGTAAAACATATATTTGTCTATAGCAAGAACTTTACGCTAATCTTAGTCTTACTTTTCGAAACTATCCAAAATGTACTTTATTCACAGTATTGTTCTGTTGGGGAGGGGTTGGGGGTAGTGGCAGAGTCGCAGAAATTTAGACACTTTTCTTATGTTGTTGACACAATCAGCTGACGTTTGAATTGCAGGAAACTGATGCTGAGGAAGAGAAAAGACAGTCACTGGATCATAACGAATACTCATGTTGACTGTCATAGATCATCTCACAACTATACTGTCACATGTTCACCAAGCTGGGTTGTGGGTTTGCTCGTATACTCTTGCTTATCGTTCAACACACTATTGAACAACACTCAGAGTTTCAATATAACGCCTATCTTTAACATCTAAGACCTACATTACAAACAACAAACAAAACTGTGACGAAAGATAAATATAAATAATGATCATTAACACAGCATACCCTTTCACAATCCAACCTTCACACATATCCAAGCGGTTGAGAGGAGAAGACGAGCATACATCTACGCATACATGAAATGAAAATATACCTGTTGCATTTCATATATAAACATATGTATAATGAAATACACAGTTATGATTATCTAGGAAGTGTCATATAATCTGTTCTGCTTTTATACACTTACACCTTTATATAATCATACCATCATATACGCAAAACCTGATGAGGTCAACTATTTTGATTTGATACAGTCACTATGGAACATTAACATTACACTCCTTGACTAGCCATCTATATTAACTTGAATATGGACTATGGATAGCAGATAGAACTAAATGACGAATAATGCACATCTAATTACAAACAATGACATATTTTTAGAACCCTACACCCGTACATACAAACAAGACTGAAGGTATGAGATGATCACTAATACATAATTACGATATAGCTTCAACTGTTAGGAAAAGATGATGGAATGGAGACAGGCGAGGCTACTTATTGACAAGCACACGTACACCATCTATGTATGTGTGTATGTGTGTGTGTGTGTAAAATATCTCATTTTCTTCTTAGATGCTTTGTATTTTTAAGGACTTTCTGTAATTCTCTCACCAGAAGTGTGATCTTAGTTTGGTCTCCAATCATTTCATGTTGATGGTCTAAGTAGAACTGAACGGGAGAGATAGAACTCACCTTTGTCAAACCAAACTTGAATACCCTACAATTTAGAAGAGAAAAAAAATATGACTCCAAGCAGAAACCAGAAATAAAACGACATCCTCTTTCGATCCTTTCGCTACTGTCATCATTCCAAATAAAGAAAGAATCAAGAATGTTCCAAAGACATAATTATTTTTATATTAACTCAGTCAACAAGGCGATTTCCATGAAACTTGAAACTGCAGCTTACTCTCTCTTATACTGTCACGCTTAATTAGTTTAAGTCAGAAGTTCTAGCGTTTATTACTGACTTGTTTCAATACGATTGTTCAGTCTGGAAAGACTGTCAAATCAAAGCGATTGGAGCTCTAGTCTGGTTTATCAACAAAATATTTAAATAGCAAATACAGTATTGAAACGATCTTCACCAGACAATTGATTTGCAACTAGGTCTAAAATAATTTATGGTAGTAATAATATTCAAATAAATCAATTCTTCGTACGTTTACTTTTTGTTAGAAACTTAGAAATGAATCTAGTCAAATGGAAAAGATTTTTAACTGCATTTTGTCAATAATTTTGTTAACTCCACTTTAAAGTTAACAAATTGCAACAGAAACCATTATTTCACGAATCTCTTTATTTATTTGTGTTCTATGCACAGCAGTGATATTCGTCATCTGGTGTTCAAATCCAATAATTAGCACTGTTATGTATGCTTTCTTTCGTAATAGATAATTTATTCGATATCTGCAGATATCCGGTTCAGATAGCAAGGAATAATTATCATTTTAAATCTGTAAATGTGACATATACAATACTATTATACATTTGCTCTCTTCTGAAAAGAATTAAGTCATTGTTATAATTCTTAACTTTTCCTATAATGAACAGAGCCACGTCAGAAACAGGTTAGCTATAGGAGGGTAGTGGTGGTGGTGGTGGTGGTGGGTGATATATTTGTAGGCTTTGCGGATTCACTTTGTCTTTCTTAGATATATGTACGAAATAGATATTAATGGCTCTATGTCAAAGACCATGCATCTCTACTTGAACAATCTTTCAAACACTTTAAATTACAGAATAATTACACAGAGTAAAATCTTTTTTTTATTAAATATGTATCAATGTTTCTCTGATATACAATGTCAAACTGTCATTAAATCTCTGCATATAATTTAGCCAAATTTCAACTGGGGCCACGATTTCGGAAAAGGACTGAGGAATGGTAAATCTAAGTGGTCTTTAGTATGAGCACCTATGACGGCAATATAGAATATAGGCTGTGCAATTGCTTGGTTTGCCTTTTCTTGCTTGCTAACATGTTTCTATACCAGGTATGTAATCCAATCAATGATATCTGTCTAAGAATCCTTTTATAGATGCTACCCCAAATCATTGCCTGTTCCTTCGTAATATAGTAGTTGAGATGAGTTTGCCTACTCTGGAATACAAGTATGGTTTTCCGTTCGTTTCCTACCAATATGGTATTTCCTATTTTATTTATCCATATCATAAATTAAAAACCCACCTTTTTTGTCCTTTGTAGCCATTCAACATTAATGTTATACGACCTCAGCACACCTGATGAGACTGTTTATTAAACTCTCTCTGTACGCGTATTTCTTCAACACCTCTCAGAACTTGTCACGTGACATATAATCCCTATACATGAATCATTAATAGCATGTGTCATATAATTATTTGACACTTCATGCTAGATTTGTCGTGCCCGACAGATTTCGATCGTTACAATTGTCTCATGATCATGTGTGTTCCATGTTGTCCATTGTCTGCCAGTCTTAACGTATATCGGATTCATCACGATGTCACCGCAACTGATATCTGACAATCAGTATGGTTCCATTAAGAGCATTACTCATCGAAAGGCAAAGTCTACTCTTAACCGGAATAAACCCGACTCAGTTCTGTAGATGAGGTCATGCAAATGTGAATCAGATGTGTTTCAAGTACTTTAAATTAAAAATCTTAGATTGGAAACTCTCTTCCTCAAATTTAATTAATATAACTAGACCTGTTGGAATCAAACAGTTAGATGGATCAAAATGAAATGTAATCAATGAAGGACAAATGCTTAAGCCACGTGGCTTGATAGATCTTTCTATTAATTAAATGTTTATGCAATACAATCTTTTCATACTCCCATTATTATGTTGTTTTTGCTGTAGGGTTTAACGCCATTTTTCAGCACAGGATAAGCTATACGTGGCGGTCAATCTAACTGGTGGAGAAAGAACCCTGGAAAACCCTGGGAAGAACCACCTACCTACAGGTTATAAGTACAAACAAAAATTGTTATGTGACAAATGATTTTGAAGATATAATTTCTATTCGAGGTACAACCTGGCCATAAATGAGAAATATTATTTAAGGAATTATTTCACCTCGGTAAGCAAACTTTGACCTTTAAATCTCAATTCAGATAAGATTTTCAAGTCATGGTCGAAACCTAACTCATTAGCTTTATGTTGTCCTGGAGCCTTGTGGAAATATTGTATATGCAATCATATCCTGAATGCCACAGCCAGCCATTAGAGATTCGTCTGATTACACGTAAGAAAAATAATTAAAAACCTTGAACAAACTATTGTTAAAGATGGGAAACAACGATTTAGATGGATTTATTTCAACTTCATACATGGCTAACTTTGCTGGTACTTGTAAACTTTCCACCCTCAGTGGTATGTTCATCTAAAGTTACTTTCGCTCCTATTCTTTGTACCTGTCCCAAAATTCCAAAAGCGTTATCTCGCATAACTAAACATGCACACGAGAAGCAAAAGACGTCAGACTTGAATGTAAGTTACTTTAAAATACATGAGAAACAATCTTTCGATATCTCTATTTGTCAATGTAAATTTGTTAGATCCAATCAAGAAGGTATGCAAATAAACTTCAAAGATAGGTAACCGTACACTTTATGAAAATATTTTAAGGACAATCGCTGTTTTGATTGTCAAACCGAAAAAGTCAAACGATGCTCAACGTGTCATGTTGTTTTCACATTAAAGCCCTGCCAAGTCATCTTTGCATTCAACCAGAAATTTTCACACACAACTCAAGTTTAGTGTATCTAAGTATTTAGTTTTCTCTCAGATTCATTTTGAAGTAAACACATTTTTATTAAGCGTAGTGTGCGTTTTAAACCTAAAAGAATCGCATATTAGATCTGTTATGGTTGATGCATGCTAAACTATATTATACGATATGTAGTTTCCATTTACTAGACCGCTCAGGTGGCCTAGTGGTTAGAGCTTCCCCCCTCAGATGTGGGAGCTCGCGGGTTCAAACCCCGGTCGAGTCATATCAAAGACTTACAAAAATGGTACAAACAGCTGCCTCACTAGGCGTTCGGCATTAAGAGTTTGGTATTATGAGTGGTCGGCCTGGTGTCAGGATAATGTGACTGTGTGGGACATCATCCTGCATGATGCCCAAGTGTTAGACATTAAAATAAACTTTCACTCTACAGATCTAACAATATGGCTGAAAATTTTTTAAAGCTACGTGAACAATCCAAATCATGCACACACATGCACGCGCACATATTTCCAATTACTAGCTCTTGAATTTTCAGACAATTGAGAAATCGACTTTTGATTTAGGATTAGTCAGTGTCACATCCTAAGACGGATTATTGGAATAATAATAGATGGTACTTCCCATCTTTTTATCTGATGGCAGTTCTGTCGTACTTTATGGATTATCAAATCGAGCACTACCGTGTAGATATCGTATTATCCAATGCCTGCTCGTCTAAACATTTACCACTCTCATTACTATATCAAGGCGGATAACCGATAATAAGACGGAAGTAGTAAGCAAGATGGCTCCCTCCAAAGGATCTTTTATATCATTTGTTCATTGTTTCATCTGCCGTGAATCATTTCTAGTGATCAGGTCGCATCATTGTTTCCAAGTTGTTTTATATTTTAATTTATATGCTATTCACTGACAGCCAGAAACCCAGCTGCAGAAAGTGAAACGCTTGTATGGTTTCTATGTCTAGACATGGACAAAGAATAATTTGAAAATATCACACATTATGACAACACGGTTCTTGAGTCTAGATAAAAGAGATGCATTTATAACTGAGGGAGGGTTTAAAGGTGTAAAGTGAGATCAGTGTTTTTTCAATTACCAGTTGCAAAACGTCTATAAACTCTTAAATTCTAAAATAAATTCGTTAATAATTTATTTGTCTTGCCAGAATATCATCATCAAGTGTAGATAATTTTTATTTAGTCACCTACTGAGATTTGAACCCGTGTCTCTGCTGATTACGGCACCCATCGCCTTGCCTAAATACACAAACTTCCGGACACTCGTCTAACTACACATCCCGCAAAAAAATGGATGGTACTTAGGTTTAAGCATTTGTACGTTGACTTAAACTAGGACTTGACAATTACATGTGCAATATGTGTAGAATCCCTCAGAGATGGTCTGGTATCACACTATAATTTAGATCTTCTCTATAAATAACCTACCAACCTATTATATATCGGAATTGCAAAAGAGGTGAGCATGGTTGACCTAGATCTGCATACCTCTGGTCAAAATCAAGTATTAAGAGAAAGTTTTAAAATTGAAGGACCATTTTTTCCATTCCAAAGTGTTATTTTACCTATGATGGAATTTATCAGTTCACAAAATCAAAGTGTCAGTGAGTTTCACTAAACATATATTCCTCGTATAAGTCATTCAGTTGATACTAAAACATTTAAACAGCACTGTCTCACAACGTTTAGAATGTGAGTAGACTAAACCTTCCAGCTAAGTTCGTATTATGTAGCGTTTATTTTTAGAGCTAATTTCGTATGTCCCTCCCAATCACAGAGGGACAAACTAGGACAAAATTCTGCTGGCCCACAACGGTCAGGTAATTTGTAGGAAAATGTTGCGTTTATTTTTAGAGGGTTGGTATATTTCAAAATTAAGAAGTTAATAAACAAATGATTTAGAATAGAGTGCATTACCTTTAAGTATTTCATTCTTTAAACTCAAGAATACAAACTATATACTGCACCGGACCTCTCTGTATTTACAATAAAGCCGGTATCTAATTGCTTCGAGTGTTGCACCGCAATCTCTATTAAGCTATAAGAGTGGAGCACAAGATGCTTAGGTTTCGGTATTTAGATGATAGGCATTCTGCATTGATGATCCAAGTTTAGATAAACAAACGTTAAAAACATGTCAGATCTGAAATTGGCTCTTATGTAGGGTAACAGTTGAGATCCACTTTCAGAAATATTCTATTATATTTGTTCAACGCACTATTCGATTTTGAAATGAACTACACTGATTATGTAAAAAGGATTTTTTTTAATAAAAAAAAATAATTCTTTTATTACTAGGAACAATATGAACTGCAGAGCTTTCAAAGCTAACGTGCCTAAGGCGATAAAGATTATATGCTGTATATACAGACTTATAAGTAGAGTCAAACTGCAAAACTACAGACTCGCCCTTGCATAATGTGCCTACAGATCAGGACATATGTCGTCGTTTACACTGATTTCGCCTAGCAAACTCCATAGACCCAGATCTGCAGTAACAAATTGAGCTGAGCTGTCAGAACTAGGTTTGTGCAAGTTTCAGTTGTTCTTGTTTTAGAAGCGAGTACATATGATAAGCAATGTGCTCGCTGTAACATGTTTGCAAACATGTTTTTTTTTGGGGGGGGGCGGCGATAAATAGCATATACTACAAATTGCATGTCTGTATTGAAGAAATATTATGAAACACTGACATTAAAATGAATATTCTAGATGGCAAGGATACTAGTGCTATTTCCCAGTAGCATCTGTTAGTCTCATCGACAGCTGGTACAGTTAGAGGTATGGAATCATGGTGGTAATAGGCATGAAATCGTCATAGTAACACGTTCTCTTCTGCAATCGAATACCAGTGGTTTAGGATATCATATTTGGTTTGGGAAAAGTAGACCATGATCGCTTGTGAAATATGGGAGTATTTAACTGTTTTGAAAATTATTAAATTTTAAATTTGTCTGTACCTAAAGGACCACTCAGTTTGGGAAGGGGAAAAATAGTCTTCAACCTATTGTCATTAAAACAATGTATGAATATATTTGAACAGTAAATAATTCCAATATTTATTAATTGGCTGCGTTTTCTAAATTTCGATTGGATGTAAACGGTCATGTGCTACTGCTCTATAATTTTTTTACACATTGATAAATTCTGCGGACTACTTTTGGTTATCTGTCCAGGTCATTTGATATTTAAGTTTTATCTATATCGACGCTTTACACCTTAATAATAACAACAAGCTCCCACCCATCAACTCCTGTGATTTTCGATCAAAAATGACAAGCCACAGATTAAAATCAACCATTAGAAGTCGAAATAATGTAATTGAACACACCTTCATGCAATTCAACACTCACTTTTTTACCGAAGATAGCATATGGCAGTGTTTAGAAGCCAATCTTCCGAAATTAATGCATTTCACCTAGACAACATGTTACAACAGCAGCTATTAAAGGTCAGGGTCATGTCAGCAAAGGGATCTCACTAAAAATGGACATAATCCTGCTGTTAAAAGTTCGATATACGTAGAAAGTAACAATGACGTTGCTATAACAAGTGCCATAGACAAGCGTAATTATAAAAAAGAGAATATTCATGGTTTAACCGCAATAATCATGTTTTGTGTATTAATATAATGATTATAACAATATACCACTGGTAAGATCCGCTTTCACATTCTTCACCTTATCACTCTATAAAGAATCTATGAATCTTGGCTAGCGAAAATAGGTCTATAGTAGTAAAGGGAAATGAGAGTTTTGGCTCACTTCATTTTTTACCCTCCAAACAAGTATAAATTAAATGAGGGTTTCCAAAACAGAGAAATGAGGGTTTTGGCTCACCACCTCCCCACACACACACTCCTACTCCGACCACCCCCCTCCCACACCTCCTCCCCCACCCCCGCCAAACCCTCATTTCCCTATACTACTACTATGTAGACAGGTATTTTGTAACCAGACAAAACAACAGGTGTTGGAATGCGATAAGCTCTGTCAACAGAAGTGACGAATTTGTTAGAACAGCGCATGCGTGGAATACGATTATTCTTATTTTATATCTCGTTACCAATGATTAATGTTTCAACTGTTGATATTAAAAATACTTCACTATCACGAATATAGATACTAAATTTTACTTTACCGCTCACACAGCGATGGGACTCAAACAAATCTTTCATTTCTGGTTTGTTCAGAGGATATTTTTTGTCGATAAAATACACCTTTGACCGATCTAGATCAATTGTGAGTTTAGTATAGTTTTGTTGGCTAATGGGGCTGTGAAAGTTTTTAAATTCCGCTAGCAACTTTTGATACAATTGTTCGAGATAATTGAAATACACGCTGTTATCAGATCTGATGAGCGAAAGTTTTAACTTGTCACGTGTTCCATTAAAACATGTACCTGATGTTTCATTATTAAATTCAACTGTCAATTGTTTACCGTCAATCATTTGATATTTGATGTTACTATTGTAGCTATTTGTCATTGTCAAATTTTCAAACATTATTTTATAAGTTTAGATAAAATTTCAGTTGGAAAAGATAATGTCGAGTATAGATCTATCATCACGACAATACCCAAGGGCAAATGTATCTACCCCATTTTTACAATAGCGTTTGTCATCAAAGTATACAATCCACGTTTGATAATGACATCTGTTTCGAGTTTATGATGATTAGTTCGAATTGCCATAGCTCTCATAAAACTAACACCGCCATCAAGAGCATACCTGTAGTCATCAAATTTTATAAACTTTTTAACAAAATCACGAGGCAGACCTTTTGCTTTTTTCGTTATTTTATTATTGTCCAATAATACGGCATATATTTTACTACGTAATCCAATAAAGTATTTGATAGCGCTCGAGTTCATTTCATCTTTAAACTTACCAATAACCTTTTTATTTGTGTCGTCATGAAATCTACTGTCACGTGGATAATCGGAAAGATCAAACAGATGTCGATTATTGTACATGTCCTGATAGATGTCCTCGCATTCAATTTCATATACGAGCGAATCAGTATCAGTAAACAATAATCTACTAGCCGGCCACTGATTTTTAACAAAATTATAATGAAAATCGTACATCAGCCACTTTGATAAATCTAACACGGCAGCTGCAACATAGATTGGCTTGTTTAGTTTTAGATTTGTTTTTCTTCTTTGTATCGCAACAAGATTTTCATTAAATATTTTCATGCTCACAAAATCATCGTCTGACACAAGTTTGTTTCTGCGATTG